TTTTTCAACTGAGCCAAATCTCACCAAAACCACAATTGAAATTTATTTTGAGAGCCACATTTTTAAAACTGAAAATACATAGGATGGTATGCTGTTTTTTTAGTTTCAAAAAGTTTTTATAGTAATTCATCCCCCATATAGTAGTAGTAAGCCAAGTCCCCCCTGTGTCAATTCACTTACCTTTGCTCTGCGCATTCCTCTCGCCGTTCCAGTCTTCAGGGCGGACTGTGAGAGGAACCTAGCTCCTCTCACGTTCGTCACGCTGCCCCGCCTACACACATCCTGACAGCCAATCACTGGCTATCAGGATGTGAGTGGCAGCGAGACTAGCCAATCATTGCATTTGAGTGCACTGCCCTGGCTGTGTTTTTTTTTTTCTGGATCACGCTGCAGAGTCCCTGCCTCCCGAGAGGAGGGAGGGGAGCGGGCACCCGGCACACAAGAGCCGCATTAAAGCGTGTAAAGAGCCGCATGTGGCTCGCAAGCCGCGGCTTGCCGACCACTGCACTAGAGCATATACTTAAAATGTAAAAATGCAATTTCTGTTTTGATTTTGTCTTGTGGTCTGCACTAGAAAATTTCACAATATTGGGATATCATGTGGTTCCTGTGAATTCAAAGTTTTAGCACTACAGAAATAGCAACGCAAACTCATTTTATTCAAAAAGGGCCCTCCTGTACCAGTAGAATTCTTAGACCAGGCTAATACAAACGCTGGCAAAAAGTATAGAATCACCACTCTTGGAAAATGTTCATTCAATTGTTTAACCACTTCCTGCCCAGGGCAATTTTCAGCTTTCAGCGCTATCACACTTTTATTTTTTTTTTTGCTATGTAGTGACTAAATACCACCAAAATAAAGTTTTATCTGTCTAAAAAAAAAAAAAAAATTCAAATTACCAGCAAATGAAAAAAGTCCAAAAATTTTGAAAAAAAAAAGTTTTATAAAATTTTGCAAATAATCTTCCATCATAAATCTTAGCCAAAATGTATTCCAGTTATCTTTTTATTAAAAAAAAAAATATAAGCCAAAATAGTTAAACCAAAAATAATTTAAATTTTTTTTATATATTTTTTTTTTTTTATATACTGTCACCATGGGGACCATGTACTAGTGGAGGGCGATGAATTTTTTTATTTTTACACACACACACACACACACACACACACACACACACACACACACACACACACACACACACACTTTACACCCATATAGGATGTAAAAGCAATCATTTCTCTATCTCCCTGTCTGCATTCTTGCAGCCATTGAGAACTACTGAGTGAGCTGTGATTGGTCACAGCTTTTCACATGGTACAAGGCTATTGTGAATAGCCTTGTACCATGTGAACTCTGAAGATTCACAGATTTCACACGTAGTAAGCAATGATGTCACAAGTGACATCTTGCTTACTACTTTACAAGTGATCACTGATTGGCCAATCAGTGATCACATGATCAGGACCTCTTACAGAGTGTTTCACTGTGTCCGGAGGACACAGCGGGCACCGGATCGCAGTGCTGCACGCTCCCAGGGAGAGCGCACAGCTAGAAATGACGGGTGCCGTTTATGAACGGCAACCCGCCCCTGGAGTGCCACCGTCCTGCCGTTTATAAACAGCAGGCAGCCAGCAAGTGGTTAACTATGTAGGAGGGAAAAACCCCACACAATCACAGACATGTCTCAAAACTATTTTCATTCAACATTCCAACCTTCTGGGTTTGAGAAACTTTAGTCAATGGCAACTGTTTTTTCCTTTCTAGTTTTTTCTTATTTTTTTTTTAAAGGAAATTAATGAATCATGTACTTAGATTACATCTGCTGCAGATGTTTTGTTTTAGAACTGCAAATTAGTCTGCAGGAAAAAAAAAAAAAAAAAAATGCTTGCACATCTTGGTGAGCTGTTGCACCAAGCGGATTGACATGAATCATGGCTCCAACATGAGAGATGTCAGTGGAAACAAATGAGAGGATTATAAAACTTCAAGGTGGTAAATCATAACGAAATGTTGCAAAAGATGTTGGTTGTTCCCAGTCAGCGGTGTCTAAAATCTGAACTAAGTACACATCAAATGGTCTACCGGTATGCTTCCCTTTTAAAACTTTCCCAAGGAACACATCAAAGCATCAGGATAGAAAACTTAAAGCAACATGCCTTGAAAACAGAAAATGCATAAGACAAATAAGGAACAAATGGGAAGAAACCAGAGTCAAACTATAAGACATCACCTAAAGGAAATGGAATTTACATACAGAAAAGCCAAACAAAAACAATAAACACCTAAACAAAAAAAAAAATACAAGGTTTCAGTGGGCTAAAGAAAAGCAATTATGGGCCGTGGATGACTGGATGAAAGTGATATTCAGTGATGAATCATGAATCTGCATTGGGCAGGGTGATGATGCTGGAACTATTGTTTGATGCCATTCCAATGAAATGTATAAAAGATGACTGCCTGAAGAAAACATGCAAAATTTCCACAATCACTGATATATGGATGTCAGGTAAAGGTACGGGGGAAATAACAGTCATTAAATCTCCAATAAATGCACAAGTTTATATTGAGATTTTGGACACTTTTCTTATTCCATCAATTTAAAGGATGTTTGGTGATGACAACATTTTTCAGGATAATGCAGCTTGCCATAGCAGCAAGAGCTGGGAAAAAACAAAAAACACAACACAAAAACACTTTCCTTCAAGACAGACATGTGTCAATGGCATGGCCTGGAAACAGTCTGAACCTCAATCCAATTGAAAATCTATGGTGGAAATGAAAGAAAATGGTCCATGACAAGGCTCCAACTTGCTAGATTAGTTTTGCAACTGCAATAAGAGAAAGTTGAAGCCAGATTGATGAAGAATACGGTTTGTCAATAGTTAAATCCATGCCTCAGAATTCAAGCGGTAATGAAAAAACACTACAGTACACCACTAGTACTTTGTTGCACCACCTCTGGTTTTTATGGATTCCATAATATTTTCCTTAGAATTAAGCGATCCCATATTTTTTTCCTCTGCTTGATCTACAAAAACAGCTGCAACTGACTACAGTTTTTTTTTTTTTTTTTTTTTTTTTTTTTTTTTTTTTTTAAGTATTTCTTAAAGCCAGAAGGTTGGAATGTTAAATGAAAATAGACATGAGGCATGTCAATGTGATTTTCAGTTTGTTTTTTCCCTACACAATTAAACAATTGAATGAACATTTTCTAAGAGTGGTGATTCCATACTTTTTGCCAGAGGTTGTAAAAACAAGGAGACCTGCATCAATGTCACAGTGCAAGAAAAAAAAACTCAAGTAATTCTGACAAAATGTTGTTTATTGGATATTTATTCAGCAGGGAAGTACAAGAAACAAATATCAGCATTTGCACACTGTTCTACACTGGTCATAGAACAGAGTGCCAACTAGTGCATTAAAAATAAATTAAATTCCTATTGGATTGATATGACCCTCTAAAACAGAAAGTTGCAGATTTATGCTCACAGAAGAAAACAGTCTGCTACACCTCTTATTTTTGTAGCACATAGTAGAGCAGTCTTAATCCAAACTTGATTTTTAAAAAATGTAAAAATTGAAAAAATTGAAAAAATTGGGACAGATTGGTGGTGCAGCAATTTTTTTTTTTTTTATTTGCACAAAAAACGGTCAAGTCTGCTGCAGTACCATAATTGACGGCAACAGGTTGTATACTTCTAAACTGGCAGAGAATTTTCAATCTGGGAACTCCCAAAACCAATGACATTTATGAAGGGCTTCTTAATGCTGATTACAAAATGTATCAATGCTATCAGGACATTTGCACACCAAGTCACAGGAGAGAACAAGATGACAAGTTTTGCTTTGGTGCAGAAAACCTGCCCCGTCTTTGAAATGCTTAGTCTCAAGTACATTTCTCTTTTCCCTGTAAGCTGGCTGGGGGCATGATGCACATCACAAATGTGACTAACTGGTACAAGGTCTTGTACCCAACCCTTTCTTCAACTCTGCCAGGGAATCTTTACAGTGTAATAAGCTCTGCAAACTGAGGGGACAGGATTTCAATGGACCATAAAATGACTACACCGGGCTATGGGCACAGGCTTTGAAAGATGGGGAGCAGCCCTGGACAGTCAGAAATGCCTAATAGGTTTAAGAAAAAACAAAACAAAAACAAAAAAAAAAAAAAAAAAAAAAACACGTTTTTATTGCTAGTCAGCATGGTATTCCATCACTTTCACCAAAAAAACAGCGTGAGAACATACACAAGGATTAACATCAGGACTAACGAACCTGCTCAATTCTAAGATTCAAACTACTTAGGATTCCCAAATTAGCAACTTGTACAAACATTTTGCATTGACTGAAGTCAAATGCCAGAAAAAAAAAAAAAGGAAAGAAAAAGGGGCATAAACAGCTTACGTAAACAGTCACTCAGTTTCTGCTTTTCTGAAAAAATTACAAAGGAAAAAAAAAAAGTTTACAAAATAAATTACTTATAGTTTATACATCATTAGGATATCAAAACATTCATTTGTTTTCTTATTCACATTTACACTTTACATCTTTTTTGGTGCATGGGATCAGAATCCAAAGCTAGTCCGATTGCACCCAGTTCAGAATTTGGCTTATATTCCCTTCATACGCATGTTTATTTACATGCATGCCAAATGCTGCAAATAGACTGAGAAATACAATGCAGACAGCCAGTAAATGGCAACCTGCTCAAGCAAAGAGGCATTTTGGGCCCAGTGAGCTGATTTTTAACCTCTTAAACTCAGTCAGGAGGCACTTATAAATAGAACCAATTCTGCCCTTCCACCAACATATTTCCTTCTCTCCCACTGAAAAGACAAATGAGCGAGACCAAACAAACAGAGTGAGACGATACTGGATGGAAACAATTCCCCCATACCTATAGTTAAAATTACAGAAAAAATATATTCACACGTCTTCTTCATGCTTTCCTGCCAGGAGTCTTCCACTGCCCTTTACAAGACTATTACTGTAAACTTTTCTACTTGGTTGGAATGGAGTTATCAGATGGGGTTAGAGCATCCAAGTAAAAGCTGTCAATTTGGTCTTTGTACATTTTGGACACCACCGGTCTCTTCAATTTCATTGTAGGACCTTGTGTGGAAAGGGGGAGAAAAACAAACGTTTAACCATAACCATATTGATTTAAAAATGCATCAGTTCATATCTGTATATCATTTTGCTTCAAAGAGTTGTAAGTGCCTTTAATTAAAAAAAAAAAAAAAAAAAAAACACAATCTACATGCAACTAGTGATCAATGTAAAGCTGTACAAAAATAGCCAGATAAATAATCCATAGCACTCTTGGAGCAGCTACAAATCTCATGGCTAGCCTCAGCTAGATATTATTTATTTTAATTACACATGCCAGCATTGTTGTCAATACTTTGAACAAGACTGCATAGTATGAATTCTGACCAACAGTTTAAAAGGAAACTTGTACTGAGAACCATAAGAGCTGTTGACCTTCCAAGCTTGGCCACCTCTGGCTTCAATATTTAAAAGGTCCCTACACATGTGGGTCATCAGTTCAGTCACATTTTTTTGCTAGGAAAAACAAACTGATGAATTCAGATTAAATCAGTTTGCTCTCCTGTTTACATATGTTTCCGCATCTTTTCTTTTAGTTGTTGAAGAAACCAAAATCGGAAGGGACAAAAAAAAAAAAAAAAAAAAAAAAAAAAACAAAAAAAAAACAAAACACAATAATAATGTCTCGTCTAAAAACCTGACAAACAGAATGGATGTAAACTGACAGCATCAGTTTACATCTGTTGAGATCCATCTAAACTGAGAAAGGACACTTTGTTCTGTTTAAAAATGGATCTGGAAGGACACAGATGTAGGTGAATGTAATCTGATGATCTGTTTACATCTGCTCCACACAGGCATACATTGTGATTTAATCTGGATCGGTCTGAAAAACTGAGACAGATATAAAATGGAAAGTGGGAGACCTAAGAGTTCCTTGCTGCGCATGTCTTTCAGGTCAGCATCTCAAACTCCTGATCTATATACTTGTTCCAGGTCAGCAACTCAAAATTACTGAAGACATTTCACCAGGATTATAGCCAGGTATTGAATATTTGCAAAAACGAAGGTTAGCTATGGCATCGTCCATACTTCTCAGTACAGGTCTTAAGCCCAACAGGTCTTTGTGAAAACACTTATTTTACTATTGATTTCTGGGGCTGTGCAGCAGCAAACACCACCTTTCCCATACCACATATTTTAGTCTCAATAGTTTACAAAATGCATTCTCTTACCAAGCTCTCCTCCTCCAATTGAAAAGTCCTTGTCCAGAACGAGCCACTTCTGAAGCTTCTGTGCATTTGAAGAGGATTTCTCATTTACAGCATTAACACCTTCTTGAATTGCAGCATACACCAACTTGTCTTTATGCCCTACAATGTCAGACACCTTAGTGGATTTGCTTCCAATTTTCTGGCAGAACTCGATGGCCTCTGTAGTCAGCTCATCTTCAGGATCTCCAGAGTCCTGATTCATATTGCACTGTAAAAAGACATGCGACACTGAGAAACTCCGTTCAGTCACTGTACATTAACTGTTCAAAACCATGTTGAAATATTGGCTTCCTAAAGCCCATTACAGAGGTGTTTTCTTTTTTTTTTTTTTAAACTAAAACCCACTTCCTGTGAGCCAAAGATGTTGATTACACAAACCCTATACGGGTGCATGATAATTAACCATTTGCCGCCCACCCTATGGCCGAATGGCAGCAAATGTCATCAGCGTTCTGGGTGTACGCCATATGGCGTCCTCCCGCTCATGCGCAGATTGCGCTCCTGCAGAGCTGCGATCTGTCACTGCCCGTGTAACTCGGACATGGCCGATGACAGATCTGAGTATCGGCCCCTGTTGCCGGTACCATGTGACCTGCTGTGACCAATCACAGCAGGTCACATGACAGTTGTATACAATGGATGGCTTCACTCATGCCATCCATTGTATACTAGTATCTAGCTGTGAATGGTCACAGCTAATCACATGCACATGTCATGTGATTAGCTGTGGCCAAATCACAGCTAAGTACAAAAAAAAACAACAAAAAAAAAACCTGAATGAATCAATGTCATTCAGGTAAATGCTTGCTTATAGCAAAGTAAATTCTTTGCTATAAGCAAATGGTGTAAAAAAAAAAAAAAAAAAAAAAAAAAAAAAAAAAAAAAAAATACTGATCACTTCCCCAAAGTAGTACAATGTTACAATATATATACACACACACACACACACATACACACACATTTTTTTTCCCATACTGTCACCAGTCAGTGTCCCTGATCACCACCATGCCAGTTATATGATGACGCTGTACTGCACTGGTGACAATATGTAAAAAAAAAAAAAATTAAAAAAAAGTGAATTTTTTCATTTTCCGAAAAGTGACAAAAAAAAACACAACTTCAAAAAACTTGCCAAGCCTCTTGTGAAGTACGTCGGACTGTCTACTTTGCAAAAAGGGGTCATTTGGGGGATATCTGTACTGTTCTGACATTCTTGAATGTCAGAAATTAGTAGATTGGCTGTCAGTACTTCAGGATTGATCAATATTCAGATCTATACCATAGTTTGTGCACTCTATAACTTTCCTACAAACCAAAAAATACATCCTAATTTGGGTTATTTTCACCAAAGACATGTAGCAGAATACATCTCGGCCTAAATTTATGAAGAACATTATTTATTTGCAAACTTTTATAACAAAACAAAGAAAAACGTGTGTTTATTTCTAAATTTTTGGTCTTTTTTTGTTAATTTAGCAAAAAATAAAAACCCCAGTGGTGATTAAATACCACCAAAAGAAAGCTCTAGTTCTGTGAAGAAATTGATAAAATTTAGTTTGGGTACAGTGTTGTATGACCGCGCAATTGCCATTCAAAGTGTGAGCGCTGAAACCTGAAAACTGGCCTGGGCAGGAAGGTGTAAAATTGCCCGGTATTGAACTGGTTATTATTTAGTTCTGCACCTACATAAAAACACTAAAGCTTCAAACTTACTTGCAGCTAGCAGGCTCCATGCAGAACAGCTGTATTTTTACAGGTTTTAAAAACTACAATGTTGAAAAAAAATATAGCAAGACTACAGACTAATGAATCATGAATGGCACTAACAGATATGCTCCTCTTCCTCTCTTTGTGGGAAACACTGGAGACTGTCCGAGTTGAAGTTTCCCACAATCTTCCATCTCCACACATTCCTGCTGGCCCATCACTATGCTGGGATGTTTCACTGACCAATGGGAAATTTAAAAGCGGACAGAAGAGGTAAGCAAGAGTCAGAACAGCCTGAAATTTGGCTTCATCAACAGGCTTTTAAAGGAGTCTGCATATACATGCAAGGCACTTCTAGTAGATTTATACATGCATCTTTCACCTCCTGAAAACAGATTCTTTTAATACAAAACCTATAGAGGGGACTCATGATCACCAGGAAAGGAACACTTTCAAGTATCAGACAGGCTGTCAACACCATGCATACAATTCTGGGCTCTTAGAAAGCCAGCACCCTCCGAAAACAGTGTCAAGGTTGAACATTTTAATATTCACTTGGAGAATATACAATATAAAATGACACGCATAAGGCAAGTTATAAAAAAAAAAACACAGCTAAACAGTTAAAAATGGCTTTGTAAAATTTTTATTGTAGCTTTTAATTATAGAACCCTTACCTTCAGTGTAAGAAGCATTGACAGAAACTTTTTTTTGTCTCCAATAACCATGGCATTACTTATTATTGGTATCTGTTCCTTTATTGCATCTTCAATGGGGACAGGAGGGATATTTTCTCCACCTGCAGTGATTATTAGCTCTGTGGGCAGATCATCATCAACATGTTATATCAGGGCATTTAATGTTTCTGCACTTAAAAACACCAGGAGTCAAAGTTTTAACTGAATAAGTTTACAGACTTACTGCAATTTCCTCAGAAAATCACTTTAGTATGGCAAAGTGAATTTGATAGGGTGGGTTTAAAGAGAAGTATATAATCTACATGAAATGTCAAGGTTTGATATCCCAACCTGTGCTACCATAATCACCAATAACCAGGCTGCCCTCCTGCCCAATCCCTCCCCTTACTCTGCAACGCTCTTTGATCATCCTATCAGAGTGCCTTTTCTTGCCTTAACAGCGTGTCTTCCTTTCCGCTTTCCCTATTCCTTAATGTGCCACAGCTCCAACACAACACATGTGTATTTACTTTATTTGGCCAAATTGTGTTTATGCTACCGTTTCTGATGCCTTAAGCAACATCTCTAATGCTTGAGTAATTACACATGTACTGCATACTCTTTTTATAACTTGTATCTTAGCTGTGGCTATAAAACTTCCCTGCATCTCTAATGACGATCTGTTGTATCCTGTTACTCAAAACATAATAAAAATTATTAAACACAAAAAGGTCAAGTTTTACTGTGGGAGGAGAGCAACTGCTTATTGTTTAAAAGTTAAAATAAAGTCCCACCTCACTACACATTTTCCTGCAACAAAAGCTTGCCTGCTGTAACCACAATTCCTGGGACAAAGTATTATAGGCTATCCCTTCAATACAGACTATCACTTTATGTCATGAACATAACATTAAGCTCCCATGCATATCAATTATATTCTATATAAAGCAATAATGGGCAAAATGCAGTGACCATTAAAAATATGCTCCAACTGGGAGAAAGGGATACTTAACTAGTTGCCGACCGCAGATAGCCGAAAGACGGCTGCACTACGGCCGGCCAGTTCTGGGTGGATGTCATATGACGTCCTCCCAGAACGCGCTCTCCTGCGCGCCCCAGGGGGCGCGCACCCGGCGATCTTCGTGATCGCTGTGTCCTACGGACACAGCTGATCACGTGATGTGGTAAAAGGCCAATCACAGCGGCCTTTTACCACGTGATCAGCGGTGTCCAATGATCAGAGGGAAATGCAAGTGTTGGTTCTCGGCTGCACTTTCCTCACGCTGTCAGATCGTGAGGAAAGTACTGCCGAGAACCGGCAGTTGTCAGAGCAGGGATCAGCACCGATCATCAGGGCACTGATGATCAGTGCCCTGATGATCGGTGCCCAGCAGTGCCACCCGCAAGTTCTGCCCACCTGTGCCCAGCAGTGCGCCCACTAGCTCCGCCCACCTGTGCCCAGCAGATCACCCACCTGTGCCACTCTGCAGTGCCACCCACCTGTGCCCAGAAGTGTGCCACCCACCTGTGCCCAGAAGTGCCACCCACCTGTGCCCAGCCACCTGTGCCCACCTGTGCCCCCACCTGTGCCCACCAGTGCAGCCCAGCAGTGCTGCCAGTCAGTGCCCAGCAGTGATGCCAGTCAGTGCCGTCTATCAGTACCCATCAGTGTCACCTATCAGTGCCGCCTATCAGTACCCATCAGTGTCACCTATCAGTGCCGCCTATCAGTACCCATCAGTGTCACCTATCAGTGCCGCCTATCAGTACCCATCAGTGTCACCTATCAGTGCCGCCTATCAGTGCTGCATATCAGTGCCGCCTATCTGTGCCACCTCATTAGTACTGCCTATCAGTGCCCTTTAGTGCTGCCTATCAGTGCCACCTATCAGTGCCGCCTCATCAACGCACATCAGTGGAGAAAAATTACCTGTTTGCAAAAAATTTGAAAAAAAAAAAAAAAAAAAAAAAAGTTTGTTTCTATTATAAAATTTTTCACTTTTATTTATAGCGCAAAAAGTAAAGCGCCCAGTGGCGATTAAATACCACCAAAAGAAAGCTCTATTTGTGAGAAAAAAATGATCAAAATTTCATATGGGTACAATGTTGCATGACCGCGCAATTGTCAATCAAAATGCAGCAGCGCTGAAAGCTGAAAATTGGCCTGGTAAATAAGGGGGTACAAGTGCCTGGTAGGCAAGTGGTTAAGCTCAGTGTTTCTCAACCTTTTTTTCAGTCAAGGCACCCTTTAAAAATGATAAACAATCTCGAGGCACCCTTTACCCTTTAAATTTAGGACAATCTCAAGGCACCGCATTCCAAAATGTAAAAAACTATTCTAATAGTTTTACCTAATGCACCTACATATGTAAGAGGCCCAATGTTAAAGTTATTTCTCCAAAGCAAATGCACTTTCACACCGCTACTGAATAGTAATCCAATATTTCTCTTCTCTCTCAGTTTCTATCACTCAGCTAATTTGATCCCATTGCTGACAAAGGGGTAGGGAAGGGTCAAACAAAAAATGAGGTGAATGCGATGAAACATTCCCCATATCAACTGATGACGTCATTGGTTGTAAGGATACCAGCGGCTAGAAGGTTGTAATGAACAATGAAAAACCTATGGCTATGTGTAAACTTGAAGGCAGGCTTGATCCACCTGTTGTCTTGTATACAATTTTGGGCAATTTTCCCTAGGAACCCCAGAAGAAACATCAAGGCACCCTGGTTGAAAAAGGATGCTTTAGCTCATCACCACTCATCCTGTGGCCTTATTTAAAGCAGTAGTTAGGTCCATTATATATTTATATAGGGCCCCCAGGTGGGTTATGCCATAATGTGCTAGTATGCACTTATTGGCACATTACGGAAGACTCGCCGGACAAAGAAACCTTCCAGCGCTGCAGTGTAATCAATCCAGCATACCCTGGATGCTTCGAATTCTTTCCCAGTCTTCCTTTCAGGTTCCATGCCTTCGGATGCTTCAATGGCTGGGTCAAGATACGGTCACTCCCTCACATGCACATGGGAGTCACATTGCCGCAGCAAAGATTTGAGGTCATAAATGCACCCTGAGCTGTGCATGCACAGCTCAGCATACATGACAGCTGATAGGCAGGGGGAAGTGTTTACAACAGAGACCAATAGGGTACCCTCCCTGTCAGCAATTTTTTTTAAAGCAAAGTATGCTAATACTTTAAGACTGAATGCCCATATACTACCAGTGCAAATGCCATTTATGATAGATGCACACGCAATTTAATCCATGGAAAAAGTCTGATTTAACAAAAACACAGTTACACCCACAGGAGGATAGGCATTCATAATTCCTAATTTTGAAACTGTCTTTTTCTGAGGAGCTCATACGAGAAGCTAAAGTCACCTTTAATCCTTCCAGTGATGAACAGGAATCCTTTATCATCATGCTTCCCAAGATCTCCTGAATGTAGCCAGCCCTCCTCATCCAAAGACTCTTTTGTCTTATCTTCCATATTGAGATATCCCATAAAGACATGGCGTCCCCAGAACAGGATTTCTCCACTGCCATCGCTGTCTGGTTGGTAAATTTGTGTTCTACAGCCAGATATTACTTTCCCACAGCTAGAAGACAAAAATTAAATGATATATGCATACACACACACACACACACACACGTGTGCCTCGGTCTACAAGCTCCTCATTTAACGTAATTTTCGGTTTAAAAAAAAAAAAAAAAAAAAAAAAAGCGGCTCCACTCCAAACGCTGGCTCCCGGCTGTCTGCCTGCTCCGCTAGCGTGACAGTTCTTAAATATATAAAGGGGCGAGGCCACCCAGTGACATCACGTATATGGCCCCACCTCCTTGTGGCATCTGCCAGGACATGCTGGGTCAATGCGTGATGTCACTGGGTGGCCCCACCCCTTACATATTTAAGAACTGTCAAGCCAGCTTGGAGGCAGATGGCCGGGAGCAAGTCTTTTCGGGTCGGCGGCGGACATAATGGTTGACGTTGGATCTACTGCGGGGGAAATTCTGTGTTTTTTCCTTTTAATAAAGGACTTGTCAGACAGTGTCCGGTCTTTTTTTTCACTACACTTGAACACACATGGATCAATTTTGTTTATTCAAATAAAAAAAAAAAAAAATCTCTGCAGTGGAGTCAAGCTTATGATTTCTAATCTGCAGGTGTGTCTTGAGTAACGTTTCTTAGAGTGGTTGTAAAGGCTCAATTTTTTTTTTTTACCTTTTATGCATGAAGGTAAAAAAACCTGTGCGCAGCAGTGCCCCCAGCCCCCTCAATACTTACCTGATACCCATCGCGACCCAGTGATGTGCACAACAGCCTCGGCTGTCCCAGGTCTCTGCCGCCTCTTTGGTGGAGACCACAAGTGGGAGCCATTGGCTTCCGTTGCTATCACAGCCACTCAGCCAATGAGAGAGATAAGGCAGGGCCAAGATGCAGCTCCATGTGTGAATAAACACACGAAACAGCAGGTGCCCCCATAGCAAGCTGCTTGCTGTGGGGGCACCCAAGAAGAGGAGGATCCAGGCTGCTCTGTGCAAAAATCACTGCACACAGTAGGCAAGTATAACGTTATTTAAAAAAAAAAAAAAAAAAACTCTTTAGAATCACATTAATATTGCTACTAGATATGCAATAAGGAAAAGTCTGGGAATTCAGTAGTCTCTCAAATGTGAAAGGCAAAGTTGGTTCAGTGTGGCCCTTCCCAGGATACATTTTTACATACACAAAGAATGTTCTCAAACATTTATTCACATTCAGGAACCATTTAAAAAGTTGAAAATGTGTGAATAGGTTAAATGCCATACCTCATGATTCTGAAGGCATCAGGTAGAGAGATGGTGTGTGGACCTGAACTTTCACTCATGCCATACAGTTCATATACTGGAATATTGAGGCTAAGGAAGAACTCCAAGGTGTCTTTAGTGATGGGTGCCGCTCCTGTGTAACATTTTGTACAGCGATCCAGTCCTAGAGCTTTGCGCACTTTTTTAAATACCAATTTTTTCGCCACATGATACCTCACTGGTTGTGGAGAAGCACTATGGTGACAAAATAGTGGACTAATTAGGTTCTGAATTAATTCAGTAACACTTTTCCTGCTACATAAAAATTCTGTTCTCCAGAAGATTTAGTCATCCCTTCAAAATTTTTTCTTTTGAAACCCAACATTAAAAATGCATAGAGCAAGAACAGCAGACGGCCCACTGCCTTTAATATTGCGAAAATACCTCAGTTACAGCCAACATCCAGTTGCTTTAGGACAGATCAAGCAAACTTTATACTTCTTGCATAGCTTTCTGTCTTTTTATAAGTACTTAGACACAACCCAGTCAGTAGAAGAGTGTTGAAAGTTTTTTTTATTTTTTTTTTTCAAAATAGGGACAGACACCCAACAGAGCTCTGGGTGAGAGGCACATTTTCATCTGGTTCTAAAGGTGGCTTGTTGAAAACAAGCATGTATTAACCCAAAAAAAACACACACAAACATCCATCTACCCACCAAAAGACTTGCGCAAAGCACTATTTCTAGTGTCAGATTTCTACAGGTAATGTAATAGTCCCTACCACTATCATACCATAGATTTCAGGCAATATATGCAAAAAACAAAAAAATTTGTCACAGGGGCTGCATTACTGATCTTCTAAAAATGATAGCTGTGTGTTAGTGATTCTGACCTCAACTACTGCAATTATGCCGTTAGACCAGGGACTTAAAAGTTCTGAAGTCAAATGGCTAGGCAACCAGAATCTCAAAAAGGTCAGTAAGAAAATTTACATGTCACAACAGATTTCCTCTAAATTGCAAGTCTGAAGTATTAACCATATCACAAACTGCAAAAAAAACTGAATACAGATCTAAATTGGACCTTGCAGTAAAATGCAGGAGCCACATACAATGTTGGTATTCCCCCATCCAAATCACCTATCAGAAGGTGTAAAATTGACCAGGAAAAAAAAAATAAAAAACTACATACATACATAGCAGCTGCAAGAGGACACTAGCAATGGCCTAGAGTTTCTTCTGCAACATTTCACTATCTTTTCATTCCCCAGGAGTCTTCTCAGGGCCAGCACATAGGTAGTTTGTAAAGGGCAGTGAGCCAATTACAGCAGGCCTGGTCTTTTGCTGCAAGGTCAACTTAAAGTATAAATCAAAAAAAAAAAGAGCCAAAATTTAGTAAAGTAAAATTCCTTACCCATTCATTCTCTTTAGGTTGGTTTCTAGGCCCACTCCTTTTGCCCAAGTGGCTACCTTGCGCTTGATTGTTGAAGACTTGGCCCCAACAGCCTTCATTTTCTCTTGCATTTTTTCCCATACTCTAGGAACACCCATGAAGGCTGTTGGCCTCACTTCTCTCAAAGTGTTTGCCAATGACCCCTGGCAAGAGGAGATAAAAGAAGAAAAAACTAACTTTTCCAGATACAGATACGCGGTTTTAAAAGGCTTATGAAAAATAACAGAACAGTTACCTTTAAAGCATCTGGCTGTGCAAAATACGTGGCTCCACCATACTTCATAGTTAGCCAGATGTCAATCATCTGTGCTGCAATATGGCTAAGTGGCAAATAGCTAACAACCATTTCTTGTTGGTCAGTGGCCTCCCTGAGACGTACAGTCTTTCCAGCCGCTGCTGCTGTCCAGGTAATCTGAAAAAGCATAGTGTTGATAAATCGGATGCTAAACTTAAAAACTTTTACTTGTGCTCAGTAGCTTCAACTTTGTAAACTTCTGACAGCAACTCACATTATCATGGCTCAGCATAACCCCCTTTGGCAGTCCCGTTGTTCCAGAGGTGTAGATCAAGGTACAGCATTGATTAGGATTCTGTGAGGAGATAATCGTGTCCAGTTCAGCATCTGGGACATCTTTTCCAAGTTGCATGAATTCAGCCCACTGTAGAAAGCAAAGGTTAGTTGACATGCATTATTAGCATGGGTCAATTACAAAAACAAGTCACATGGGGGAAACTATTAATCAGTGACTGGGGGACATGGGGGGATTTTTACTGCAGACAGTTTAGACATACAGTGCCTATTTGACAATGTTATTCTAACATGCAAGGGCTTAAAAGTGGTTGTAAAGGCATTTGTGTGCTGCTCCCAGCCCCCTCAATATTTATCTGAGCTCCATCGCAATCCAGCGATGTGCACGACAGCCCCAGCTGTCTCGGGTCTCTGCCTCCTCATTGGCAGAGACAGCAAGCAGGAGTCATTAGCTCCTGCTGCTGTCAATCATAGCCAGTCAGCCAATAAGGATAAAGAGGGGGAGGGGCCAAGACACTGCTCTGTGTGTGAATGGACACTGAGCAGCAGGTGCCCCCATAGCAAGCTGCTTGCTGTGGGGGCACCCGAAAAGGAAGGAGGGGCCAGGGGGCATGCGGGGGACCCAAAAAGAGGAGGATCCAGGTTGCTCTGTGCAAAACCACTGCACACAGCAGGCAAGTATAGACATGTGTCATCTTTTTATTTTTTGAAAAACAACAACCTTTAGAATCTCTTTAAGAGGCAGGACCTTGGAAAGGCTAACAGAACCTCAGCAGACTTACAGAAAAAAAAACCCCACTCATTAATGAGGCATAGTATGCACCATGTATTAAAGCATACCTAAACTTAAATATGTTATTTACTGCAGCCTCCCAATCCTTGGATAAGGTGGCTGAAAGTTCTCTAGAATGCTTGGTTCCAGTGAGAGCCGACAAAATGTTCCTGCAAATTGTCACTTAACACTATATCCATCTGCTTCACATGTTCAATAAGCAAGGAGGTCAACCAAAAGCTGCAGCTAGATCTCTTAAGAGGGTATGACCAATTAGATATGATCTGACAAATTATCATCACAGTCTGAATCAGATGAAGAGCAGGACCCACCAGTTAAATAGAGAGCTCTAGAAAGAGCTTCCAACAGCTTATCCACTGGGTTCTTAAACACAGTTCACTAGTAACTAGTAAACGCCTAAGTTGTGTCATAGCTGGACACAGAGGGGGAGCTGAGCATTTATGAATATCCTCACCAAAAAAACATTAATAGGCACTTAAAGGAACAAACAACCTACTTCGCTTAAAGAAATATGTCAGATTTACTGTGGATATAGAAAAGAATCACCCCCCTTAGTAGAAAGAAAAAAAAAAAAAAAAATTCAAAAACAGAAATCAGGGTTGGGGGGAAAAAAAAAAAAAAAAAAAAAAAAAAAAAAAAAAAAAAAAGATTACCCCCAGGTGTCAGTTTTCTGTTGAACCACCTTTTGCTGTATTTACAGCCTTTAGTCTGTTAGGATATGTCTCTACTAACTTTGCATATCTAGATTTTGCAATACTTGCCCACTCTTTTTGAAGAACTGCTCAAGTTCAGTTAAATTCGATGGTGACCATTTGTGGACTGCAGGCTTCAAGTCATTCCACAGACTTTCAAGTTTAAGTTTGGGCTCCGACTAGGCCATGCAAGGACATTCACTTTCATTGTGTGGTCATTTTTGCAGTGTGCTATGGGTTATTGTCATGTTCGAAGGTAAATAAAAAAAAAAATGTTTGAACGTAAAATCAAATGAAAAATGTAAGTGTTGAGCTGCTAAATTAAGTGTCATAAATCCAAAATCTCAAATACACGCTGCATAAAATATGTGAAGTGTTGAGCTGTTGAAGTATTAATATACTTGTTCACATGTTTTATGCACAAAGTGTATTCGTGATTTTGGATTTGACACTAATTTAGCAGCACAACACTTACATTTTTTTATTCGACTTTGGCTTATGTGAGGAAAAACCTTTGCATTTGCTGCAGCTTTATTTTATTTATTTAGCACTTATTACTTTTTGGTAGCGTACAATTACTTCACATTTTATGTTGGACGATAAACCTTCCCATTGACAAACTTTCTGGCAGAGGGCTGCAGATTTCCTCAAGTATTTGACAGCATTTTGCTAAAACCCCTTTTCCTTTTATCCGGGCAAGATGGTGAGCTGTATTGGATCATTTAGGCCTCATGCACACAGGACAGTTAAAAAAAAAAAAAAAAAAAAAAAAAAAAGAAGCAAAGCCCACACACACTCTCTCCTAGAGGCTGTCCTCCTGCAGCATTTCTGTATCTAAAACTTTTACAAGTGTTTACATGCATCAGGCACTTGGGTGTTATTTCATTTAATTGGCTAGAATTTAAAACACACAGCCTTTAGGTTCGTCAAGCGTTTTTCTGCTAAAACTGTGCTGCTCCTGGATGCACTAGCCCTGGGTTTTTTTCCTGCTAGTAGATGCTACTGCTAATAAGCTTCTAAGTCTGTGTGCAAGGACACACAGGATGATATAGAGGGCCATTTGGAGGCCAACACACACACACACACCCTGATGCCCCTAAAAGTGGCTGCAAAAACACTGTGTGCACGAAGTCTTTGTCATGTTTGAAGGTAAAATCAGCTGGTCTGATGAGACCAAATCTGAAATATTTTACCTCAATACAATGACCGAAAGTACACAGCTATAGTGACCACAGAGTGAAGGTGAATGTCCTTGCATGGCCTAGTCCGGGTGTCGGCAACCCGCGGCTCCAGAGCCGCATGCGGCTCTTTTTCACCTTTGCTGCGGCTCCGGAGCACACTGCCCACCAGGTGACAGGCAATAGGGTTGCCGTAGCTCAGTGGTCGGCAAGCCGCGGCTCTTTTAACCTCCCTGGCGGTTTTCCCGAGTGTAGCTCGTGGTAGAATTTCTATACCACGAGCTACACTCAGGCTTACCATGCGGCGCTGCTCTGGGGGTCCCTGCAGCACTTACCTTGTCCTTCGTTCCCGCGATGTGTCCCCTGCAGCGTCCCCGGCCATCTCCTCCGGCCGATGCCGGCATCCGGCTTCTGTGTTCCGGTCCCCGTGACGTCGGGACGTACGGGCGCCGCCGGCGGCGGGAAATTTAAAAAATGTCTTTTTTTTTTTCAATTTTCAATAGTAAAACATTGCTGTTTCATCCCATTTCACATACATTTTGTCCTGAGTGCTTTGTCCGGCGCCCTGCCTGCATTTTGTCTGTTCTTTCTGCCTGGAAACTTAGAAAAGTCCATGGCGTCCAAAAAGCGTCCCTTTAGGTCAAAAGCGGTTTTAGACCGGCTAGAGAACAGCGATAGTAAATCAGAACCACTTGCAGAATTGAGTGATGATTTGTGGGGAAATTTTCCTAAAAATTACAGCCTACAATAAAAAAACTATTTCCATGCGAAAAAATGGTACCGCTTTCAGCACAAAAAAAAAAATCGGAAGGAATCATACCGCCAGGGAGGTTAATGCAGCTCTTCTGTGTGCCGGGCGCCCGCTCCCCTCCCTCCTCTCGGGCGGCCGCCCCAAAAGTCAGGACTCTGCAGCTAGCCTAGCAATGGGCAAACTACGGCCCGGCGGACCTTATAATCCGGCCCGCGGAGCGTGGCAAACATTGGCTGTCAGGATGTAGGCGGGGCAGCGTGACGAACTCCTCTCCTCTCACAGTCCGCCCTGAAGACCAGAACTGCGCGGGAACACGGCGAGAGGAACGCGCGGAGTACAGGTAAGTGAATTGACACAATATGGGAATGAATTACTATAGGGGGGATGATTTACTATAGGGGGGATGATTTACTATAGGGGGGATGATTTACTATAGGAGGGATGAATTACTATATGGGGGATGTATTTTCAGTTTTAAAAATGTGGCTCTCAAAATAAATTTTAATCGTGGTTTTGGCGAGATTTGGCTCAGTTGAAAAAAAAGGTTGCCCACCACTGACCTAAGGCTATGATTGTGATTATGATGATACACTGTGGCCCTGATTAACCCTTTGCTTACTGGGCCCTTAAACCCCCTTCATGACCAGAGCGCTTTTTGCAATATATGCAGTGTCGGATTTGTTTTAAATGTTGCAATGGTTTTGCGGCTCCCAGTCTTTTTTTCCCCTCTCGGAAACGGGTCCAAGTGGCTCTTTATGTCTTAAAGGTTGCAGACCCCTGGCCTAGTCAGAGCCCAAACTTAAACCCCATTGAAAGTCTGTGGAAGGACTTGAAGCCTGCAGTCCACAAATGGTCACCATCACATTTAACGGAACTTGAGCAGTTCTTCAAAGAAGAGTGGGCAAATATTGCAAATTCTAGATGAGCAAAGTTAGCAGAGACATATCCTTAACAGACTCAAGGCTGTAGATAATGCAAAATGTGGTTCAGCAAAAAACTGACACCAGGGGGTGATCCTTTTTCCAACTCAGTGATTCTGTTTTTGAATTTAATTTTTTTCTGACATGTTGAGGTTATATCTTTCACAAGGTTAAATGTTGCACTGAGTAAATGCAGCTGGAGAAAAATACTGTGTCTTCATTTCAGGCTGCAAAGCAACAAAATGTGATATTAAAGATACACACACTGATAAAGCAAAATCTTAATTGCAATTTCCATATACTGCTACATATTGCCAGTGAAATATCTAAACAAACCGTGTATAGGTTGGGCTTCTTCTCTTTTAGTTCATCTTTGTATTGCACAATTGCCTTTAAATGGGGGAGCTGATCCTGAACCTGAAACAGAGAATACATTTTTTTTTCCAACATATTGGATTATTACTTTTTAGGAGAAATGAAAAAAATCCATTGTAACCTTGAACTACCAGGTTTTAACATTAGTCTAGTTACAATGTTAAGTGATAGGTGGATTGGGTCTAAGATGAATGGCAATCCTACAGACAACTATGCTATCCTGTAGGTCAGTGCAGACTAGAAATTAGTCTTACCAGCTGTGGAAGCTGTCCAAGTTATCTAGATGTAAAGCACACAAATATTTAAAATTGACCAATTAACTAAACTCAACGTGCAACCAAGCATATTGCACCTACTGGTGGTTACTTACTTGAAGAATTTTTTGCAGTTGTTTATGATTTTCTACCACAAGAATGTTGGCCTCACAGTTCTCTGCCACATAATGACAAGCCTCTGCAGAATTTGTTGTGTAGATACCTACAGCAAACCCTCTGATAAACAAAAAAACAAAATAAAACAAACACTGTAGTTGGTAGGAAAACTGCCATCTCAGCCACATACAATATTAACATGTTTCATTCTGTAAAGTAGCATATTCCTTTTCTGAATGCAAAGGATTCTTTTCAATTGGTATATTCCTAGCCATTTATACTAGGCATTCCTCCATCCTCAAACCGTGCCCTTCCCAAGAATGATAGGTCACAGTTTTTGAAAGCCAGAACCAAGGCTCAAAAGCTCTTGTATTGCAGTAATTTTACAATATTAGAAATAATCTGACCTGCTACAGCAAACAGGGTAAAGGCCACTGACCTTTTTACCAGCATGCTGAAAAATCTGATAGGCAATTTTAAGGCTCTCGAGACAACTTTATTGCTTAGGACGTTAACTGAAATAGGTTGAACAACAATGATTCTACAATTATAGGCTATTTATGACCACTATGTGCATGTATTTATTGAACTGGGAAGGGGAGGGGGGTGCAACTTCAGTATAAAAAAGTTTCAGAAGATTGAACCTTGCACTAAAATATTTATTGACTTGAGCTTTAGAAGGTTAGGGGAATTCCACCTTTAAGATGCATCATCCATAACCTTTCATCATATCTTGCCCTGATAAAGATGTACATCCGACGAACACTGAATAAAATATAGCTTCTCAGCCAAGTTAATAAATGCCACTTGAATGCAGATAAAAGGTAAACCTAGTTGAGGCATGGGCTCCACTAGATCTTTGAAGGTATGCTTTTGTATGGCCCCAAGTTGTCAGTAGCAGTTCCTTGAAAGCAGAACTCTGCGTTGTACCCGAATTTGACAGGCACCCACTCCAACTTCCGCTGCGATCTAGATGGTCAGAAGCAGAAGTTGTCCTCCGCATCGATCATCTAGGCCAGGCATCACTAAATGGCAAACCAAGTCACTGTCCCATCCAGACCCATGCAGTCCTGACTTTTAACCACTTCCCACCCAGCCTATAGTAATATGATGGCTGGGCGAGCCTCTCATCCCTCCGGTAGAGTCATATGCTATCCTTCCCGGATAGCGCATTGCACGTGCCTCCAAGGCCGCGCTGTGGAGAGATCTGTCACTGGCTGTGTACCTCAAACAAGGCCGATGACAGAACTGTGTACCGGCCCCGTTGCCAGTGCCATATGACCTGCTGTGACCAAATCACAGCAGGCCACATGACAGTTGTATGCAATGGATGGCTTCCTTTCATGCCATCCATTATATACAAGCGTCTCTAGCTGTGAATGGTCACAGTGATTACATGCACAGGCTGGGCCAATCACAGCCCATCTGTGTCATGTGATTAGCCGTGGCCAATCACAACAAAAAAACCTGAATTAATCTATTTAATTCAGTTAAATGCTTGCTTATAGCAAAGAACTTCTTTGCTATAAGCAAATTGTGTAAAAACGGATTACTTCTCCAAAGTAGTATAATGTTACTATGGTAACATTATACTACTTTGGGCATAGTGTAATATGAAAAAAAAAAAATTGAAAAAAATAACTTTGTACGGTCACCAGTCAGTGTCCCTGATCACCGTCACACCAGTTATAGGACGACGCTGTACTGCACTGGTGACCGTATGTAAAAAAAAAAAAAAAAAAAAAAAAAAAAAAAAAAAAATGTTTTAATTTCTTACTTTTCAAAAAAAAAAAAAAAAAAAAATTTACAACTTCAAAAAACTCGCCATGCCTCTTATGAAATACATTGGACTGTCTACTTTGCAAAAAGGGGTAATTTGGGGGATCTGTACTGTTCTGCCATTTTTGGACCTGAAGAAATTAGATTGGCTGTCAGTACTTCAGGATTGATCAATATTCAGATATATCCCATAGTTTGTGAACTCTAACTTTCCTACAGACTAAATAAATATTGATTTGGGTTATTGTCACCAAAGACATGTAGCAGAATACATTATGGGCTAAATTTATGAAAAACAATTATTTGCAAACTTTTATAACAAAGAAAAACTTTTTTTTTTCTCAAAAATTTTTGATCTTTTTTGTTAATTTAGCAAAAAATAAAAACCCCACTTGTGACTAAACACCACCAAAAGAAAACTCTAGTTGTGTAAACACAATTATAAAAATGTAGTTTGGATACAGTGTTGCATGACCATGTAATTGTCATTCAAAGTGAGAGCACTGAAACCTGAAAATTAGCCTGGGCAGGAAGGGTGTAAAAGTGCCCTGTATGGAAGTGGTTAAGAGCCTTTTCTTCCCCCAGCTGTCTCCCGCTGTCAGCTTTGTGAGGATGACCGTGAGGCAGGACAGTTCTGGATGGAGTTTGGGAGCTGCCCGAGGTTAACAAGTAAGTGGTTTGCTAGGATGAAGGGCAGTCCTAGCAATCAATCACTGTCAATTACGGTGTGTAAGGTAAAACAGTGGGGGGGGGGGCACGCGCACGTTAAAGGGGCTAAGGACATTAGTGTGAAGGGGGGCCGAGGACCATAACATGGAGGGGATGATGTAAAAAGGGGCAGAGTACTCTTCAGTAAAGGGGGCAGAGGACAGTACTGTTGGGGGGGGGGGGGGGGGGGGGGTTGATGTCAATGAAGTGAGAGCACTACTGTGAAAGGGGTGGAGGGGGGTGATGTATAGGGGGACCTGAGGACACTCATCAATAGGGATCTTGCTGTGAACGAGGAGGGGACTATGATGTGCAGTGGGGATGGACAATGGTTCAGATCTGTACATGTGCATTTGGTGCACACATTGTGGGTAGGTGTGCACTACCTGCTAGAAACCTGAAGTCCCCTACCGGTTTTTCCAAAATCACACCGCAGCAACATGTGGTTTGGCACACACGAAAGTGCACCACAGGGGCCTACATGAGATTCAGACCTCTGATGCATACAAATTTTACTGCCCAGACCTTGGTGAATTTTAATTTTAAATAGCCCAGGGATCTAGGCGATCAGAAGCAGAGGTTGTCCTCCCCCCCCCCCCTATGATGGCTATAGACATAGCTATAGTGCTATATGGTACATAAAGATATATAGGGCCAAATCCAAAAGAGGCACGCACAGGTCTTGCAGCAGAGAAATGAAAATAGTAGCAATAAAATTGCTGCTAAGTAGAAACAGCAGCGTTTGTATTGGGAGTATGAATTTTCATCATTGGCCACAGTTGGCTGGAAGCAAAGTGCATGGCGGTGCAATTTTTATGGAATAAAAGCTTAAGAAGGGGAAAAAAAAAAAAAAAAAAAAAAAAAAAAAAAAAAAAGAAAAAAGAGACACCGCACAACCCCAACACCACACTTACCCAGCAAGTATGGCTCCTATGTCAGAAATGAACCACTCTGAGGAATTGAACCCCAGGATTCCAACCCCATGGTATCTTTCAAGGCCCAACTATAAATATTTTAAGGAAACAAAAATAAAAAAAATATAAGAACTGTACATACTAAAGCAGATTTAAAAAAAAAAATAAAAAAAAAAAAAATATGGATAGTAGCATACCTTAAGGAATCCTTTGGCTGCTATCCTGCACTGTTCATAGTATTGTTTGTACGTTAATTTGTGCCACTGATCTCCCTGTTTTGATGCCAGAGCAACATAATCACCATATTTCTGAACAGAATCTTCAAACAACTGGTGAATGGTGACTGGAGGGAGACTGGCTACACCAGACTCTTCGGTCCGCAGCGCCACACAGCCATCTCTCTGCGTAGTCCAGAATTTCAAGTCAGGCGTAGAGGTGTTTGACTGATCTAGAAGAAAATTAATTTTATCTGGTAAAAATTATGACCCTACCGACACGTCACTCATTTCATACAGAGCATATGTGCACTCAATAAGAATATTACCATTTCCTCTCTTCCAAATCAGTAACTAGACATTTGGCACAACAGGTCACCCAACAAAGTGCAAATTAAACAAATTTATTGGATACAGTTTTTTCCTTCCAAAACAAAGCTAACTAGAAGCTTTAAGAACGCATGATGTTGTCAAAATTCAGGCTGAAGTATAATTCTACCCATGTACCTAGAAGGGATGCAACATCTTGATAATCACTATACTGAATTCAGGGTGAATCCAACGGTCTGCAAGAAACTAAATCATTTTGTGGTGCAAAGCAACACAATTTAGGATGAGACGACTGATTAAAAAAAAAAAGTCTAAGGTAGCAGAGCAGTTCCCAGAAAAAAAAAAAAAAAAAAAAAAAAAAAAAAAGAGGTCCAAGTAATCCTGGAAAGAGGTCCAAGTAATCCAGGTATAAGACCCTACATGGTATTATGAGGCCTGACATTTCTTCATGATGCTAGTTTTCAAAAACACAGCATGAAAGTGTGTTAGCGTGTATTATAGGTCTCATTGTTTATAAAATACTTTTCTACAATCCAATTCACTTAAACCTTTAAGGCAGCTGTATTTTTTATTTCCAACTAAAATGAACTTTATATTTAGGCAAGATGATTTACAGATCTGGGCAACATATTTTAAAAACCCCACACTCGCAGAACTATTCTGCAAGATATGCACTTCTCAACCTATCACACCTTGTGCAGGTCAGGGACACATGACAAATCATGCACTTTCCTGACATGTACAAAAAAAAACAGAAGTGCCATTACCTGTAGGGAAGCCCACAAACTTGCTAATACATGCACCAAACTGCCTGTGGGTCAGTGCAGCACATTTTTGGAAAATGATCAGGGACAACTTTCATATTTCTCACTCATAGGGCAGCCCACAGGACAGCAAAATGCCAAAGAAATGTCTGTAAATGCTAAATATGTAATGCATATCTGAATGAACAATGTAATACTGCAATTGCTCCATCATAAAGAGGTTTCAGTAGTGATCACAGTGTGGAAATTCCCTCTTTGAATGCAAATTTGCTAGTAAAGTTAACTTTTAAAAATGGACAAATTACAAAAAAAAACCCCACAAAAATAGAGTACTTACCCACAGATACTGCTTCAGGACTTGCATCATTAACATTACATTCAGGTTTACTTTGTGGCCGTTCTTCACGGTTTTCTTCTACACTGCTAAACAAATCCCAACAAAATTAATCAAATCAAGCTACATAATCTTCCTAAAAACTTATTTTTATCATGAAAACAACCTAACAAACTTCATGTCCAGAGGACAAATATTACACCCTCATTTTTAGCCACTCCCACAAATTGCCTTAGGTACTATGAGAACAGGGCTGCTGTGGAAACAGTGGGCAGCTTAGTAAATGAGGTGAAGCTTCATTGTGCAGAGAATACTCAATCACATGCAAGAAAAAAAAAAAATACATTTTTGCTTGCACATGATTGAATGATGGAGGTCAGCAGAGTTTCATCGCATTCACCAAGCTCTAGAGAAACTGCACATGCAGAGTACAGTATTTGCCTTTAGTAAATCCAGCCCAAGTTCAGGGGCCAGGTTTATCTTCAGTTGGAGCCTGCCCACCTCAAAAGTTTATTATATGGTGCCCAATGTCCAGGGACACCCAATTCTCATGGACAGACCCCATACAACAGACCCTATCAGGCAAAAATCGGTCAAGGCCCCAGCTCTCCTGCAGTTGATACACTACTTTTGCATATTTTTCCTGATTAACACAAGAAAGGTTTTGTGGCTCTCTTGTGGATAACAATTTTGTAAGTTATGTTATTTGCCACACTGCTATAATTTACTAATATCAGAGGTGTGGCCCTCAAGTCTTATACTAGTCAGCCCACTATCATTTGAGTTTGAAATGTTTGTTGTACAGACACAAGTGGGAGGCAGTCATTGCGGTCCTTCACTCAACAAAATGTTGGTTGAATTCTCTACAACTATGTCCCAGAAAAGACTTACCCTTGTGATCCCGTTACATTTATATCTTTTAAACACGCATCTTGCTCTGGCGTTTCACATGTATTCTTCGGCATTTCTGTAGCAGCATTCATTACCATAGCCGACATGTCGGGATCACACTGCAATGTCACTGTAACAAATTCCAAAAATAATCTCATGCAATGACACAGATGGGTCGACAAACACAACATTGTATTACACTTCAGGGTTTTTTTTTTGCTAGACTAATTTTTAAGCAATGGATGGATTGGGAACTGTGAGAAGTTCCTTGGTGACCAGTATGTTCTGGCTATAAGCTACCCTATTCAGCCATACTTGTCAGGCTGTCTGCCATACTGGAAAGGAAGACCATTTCCACCATGTGACTTTCAGTCAACTAACAATGAATTGAGGAGACATGGTCAGATACCTCCACCATTGGAACACAGAAAAAAAAGGTATGGATCAGAAACATTTTTGTAAAGGTCCAATCATTTTTCTCCCACAAATATGTTTAAAAATGAGGATTTAATTGGTGAAAGTGGTTAACAAAAAGTAGAGCTTCACCCCAAATGTCCATTTACTGCCATTTGTCTCCTCACTAGGGAGATCGACCCTGGTCATACAGGAGTTGGCAAACACTGTCACTTTGTTCTGGTGACTGCAGAAAAAAAAAAATATTTCCCTTCTGTTCAGAGCTAGAGGGGACACTTGGGAAAGTTTCTGGGGCAGAATGTGAGGCCAACAATATGACCATTTCTAACCCTTCAGCAGGAATTGCAAAACAAAAAACACACCACTTTTAGTTCCACTTCAGCACTTTCCCTTCGCTCTAATAGATTGCACCATACTTGCAGATGTGTGCTTTATTGCACGCAGCTCAGTCAGTGAACTTCAAATACCAGTGGTAGGGCCAGGTAAACCAGGCATTTCTCAGAGATGGAACCCCCATTCATCAATGTGCAACTGTCACAGCAGCAGTTTGTTGGCCACACCAAAATTCTGGATTGAACAGATAAATGAAATTTACCAATATTTGTTCAGGTCTGATGGCATGCTCACTTATCTGATTTGTCAGGTCAGCATGATCAAATATGTCATGACTGACTATTAAAAGGTTCTTGTTGACCTTACTTCTAGTGGAAGCGATAAGCGATCTGTCCATCTGAAAACCCCAAAAGATGTGAAGACACTAAAGGGCAACCAGATGGGCAGGCACGCCCCAGCTGCCCTCAGATACTGGTGTTGGGGGCATCTGCCTTAGCAGAGCATTTGTGGTAAAGCTAGGCAGTGTCCCAAGCAGATATCACCTAGGGACAGCTTTGAAAAATATGCAAATAACTGAACTGGTTTTCAAGCAAGTCTGTGGATACCCAATAAAGCAAAAAAAAAACTGCCAGATCACATCTATGGGTATCGTCAAACAGATGAAGAAAAATAGACCATACTCTGTTCTTCAGATCCTCTGAAAAATTAAGCCCGAGGGTGACCATACACACTACAACCTGATTGCACAATTTTCTAAAACCATGTAATCTGAGGACAAACCTAAACAATGCATTCCATTTAGATTTGATTGTGCTAGCCCTTACATTACACAGTTGTTGGTATTTCTAAAAGGAGATTAAACAGATTGTATAGTGTATCGTCAGCTTAAGCAAAAACTAGATACAAGAGCCAACATGCTTTTAAAAAGGAAAACCAAAAAGGTTTGCTTATCAAGAGTCATGGTGGTATTGACGAGTAAAGTGACAGATGTTCCAACATGCTAGCATTTCCACGTCAAGGAAACGCAATCAGATGATCAGAGTGGAGATGTAAAAACACCGGCACTCACATCCTGCATCCACAACACCGGATCCATTTCTATATAAGCAAAGCTTGCAGGGAACAGTTCTTAAATGAGGAAATTATTATACAGGATTTATATAGCGCCAAATAGTTTACAATATAAAAGGGGGACAGAACAATTACAATGCAGAAGGAATAGGAGGGCCCTGCTCATGGAGCTTACAATCTAATAGGAAATCCATTCATATTGCATCTATTAATGATGTAGGTCTGCAATCACTGTTCCATATGCCTAGACCCTCAGCAAGCCTCCATTCAGAAACACTGGCAAACCTTTAACCAGTACACCATACCATATGGAACACACAAACATGGTGTAATGGAAACCGTTGGCTTGCCAACAGTATGAGCCCATAGGTATGCTTCAGCAGAACACATACCAGGAAGGGTGTGCCATATCTAATCTTAACATTTCAGTTTTAAAATACAGCCATACATCAGATTATGGAGGGACCAGTCTGATGCAATTATTCTAATCAGCATTACCTCAAAAGATCAGAAGTGAACCATGAATTACAATGTGGTTCTACAGAATCCATATGATGTGTCACTTTATGTAATATTAAAATGTAACGTTCTACACCCTACAGGTTCTAATGAATGAACATGCACATAGGTTGTCTGGTAGAAAAGAACGGAGGCATGAGATGAGGGTCATACTCACATAGCATCTTCACAGCTGGACATACACCTCTCCCTACTGCAGCATGTACTAGTCACCAGCACAGCTTCCCTTTTTCTTACTAGCAGAGCCGATTGTTAAACCAACCCCCACCAGGAAGACTAGTAGAGTGTGACATCACTCCTAGTCCTTTCTGTAATTGGATGCCGCCTATCAGCCCACAAACCTCACTCCTTATTCGGTGTGGCCTGACAACCAGCCCCCACTCTGCACATGGTGGTGCATCACTACGCTAGCCTCCCAGAGGATGTCAAGATCATTTCCCTTCCCACTGGAACAGTGTATGATGCTCCAAGCAGGGTTACTTTCGGTCAGACAAAAATAAACACGCAGACGGCAAGCCAAAGAATTGCACAGGTGTTCCATGAGAAGCCATTGAGAATAAGGATGTAGAACACATTAATGATGTAATGACGACTATAGGACATTACTAAAAACAAGTCCAATACATAGCTAGGAGTAGCAGACAAACAAAACCAACAACAAAAAAAAAAAAAAAAAAATGTATGTAATAAATAATAATAAATAATAAATAGCTTATATCTATTAATAAAATGAAGATGGTAAATCCGGTATACTGCAACAGATGTGGTTATCCACTTTCTCAACCAGAGCACATCCCATTCCAGAGACTTTAACCCAGTTATCACGCAGATAATCACAACACATGCAGCAGACAAGTCAAATATTACAAAAGACGCTAGGTATGTTGCATATAAAAAGCAAATACAATTCAGACAGTACAGAGTAGACAGGGACAAGGTCAGTGTTCTACAGGCACACTACTTTTTAGTGAAGCAGTACTCTATAGGTTACATTTTACTAAAGGATGCATATTAGAGCTCACTCACATTTGCGGCTGAGAAAGAGGGGGGGGGGGGGGGGTTATAGTGGTCAGTTGAAGAAAAAAAAACCCCAACACACACATACACATGTGGTTGAGCCACACAGTTTTACCATCCCCCGATCATCCTTTAAAACACTCCTAAAGACTCAATATTTCTTACCTTCATGCATTCTATTCATGAAGGTAGAAAACCTTCTGCAGGTAGCAACCCCCCCCCAGCCTCCCTAACACTTACCTGAGCCCCCTCTCAATCCAGCAATGTCCACAAGTGCCTGGGTTCTCCAGGGACTCTCACTCCTGACTGGCTGTCAATCACAGCAAGTGAAGCAATCAGAGGGAGGGGGCGGGGACAAGCTGCAATTGTGTGTGAACGGACATACAAAGCCAGGGCTCAGGAGCACACCTGCTCCCATAGCAAGATGCTTGCTGTGGGGGCACCGGGAGCCCAGAGAGGGAAAAAAAAAAAAAAAAAAAAAAACAAACCAGGGAGACCCGAGAAGAGGAAGATCTGGGCTGCTCTGTGCAACATCACTGCAGAGAGCAAATATACATACATATATATTTAAACCTGGAGGTGATTTTAGGAGTGTTGGGGGTTTTTTAAAAAAAAAAAAAAAAAAAAAAGGTTTTATGGCAACTTAAACAATTTTAACATTGCGCTGTTTATTTCCTTCTTCCTCCCTGCCTGTCTCCAGCACCGCATCCAGGGACTAGCAGGGAAGGGAGAGACCTTGCAGGGTAATGAGCACCAATTGGGTGCTCCTCAGGAAAGGGACATATTGTCACGCTTATCCTTTTTGCTGTCAGAGCCCTTTTTGCATACGTTTAAAAAAAAATCATTTTAGACCTGATTACATTAATCCCCCCCCCCCCCCAAAAAAAAAATAAAAAATTCTGAAAGCTGAGACCCTAGAGAACAAAATAGTGGTAGTTACAATTTTTTTTATGTCAAATATTACCACAAAAGTCCAGGAAACAAAGTTTCAGTAAATATACACTTAATTTTAGGGCACAAAAAAACAAAATCTCCCATTTTTTTGGTAAACTATAAAAGATGAGGTTGCACCAAGTAAATAGATATCCAACATGTCAAACCTTGAATTTGTATGTGCTTGTGAAATGGCAACAAAATATTAGTATCCTATATTTTCTATAGGCGACGCTTTTAAAGCTCCTTATAGGTCATCAGTTTAGTGTTAGAGGAGGTCTGGTGCTAGAATTATTACTCTCATTCTGGCATAGGCGGTGGTGTGTGTGTGGTGGGGGGGGGGGGGGGGGGGGGGTGGGGGGCTAAATTGTTTGGGGGGGTGGAGTTTATGTGCGAGTGTAACTAATTTTTTTCTGAAAAATTAAAAAAATATATATATTATATACCGGTATATTTCTCAACTTTTTCTTATTGAAATGTGATTTTTGGTGACAGGTTCTCTTAAAGACATCCAGGGTTTAAAAGACCCTGGATGTCTCCCCTGTACTCCATTGAATGTAATGCACATCACACTGCAACATTTTTTCCCGGCCTCAATGGCCGGGAAATCATTCAACGGGGACCTGGAAATGATGTCATAATGTCACTTCTGGGTCAGGATAAGGGGAGGGGAGGAAAAAAGCATTTGATCCCCTGCTGATTTTGAATGTTTGCCAACTCACAAAGAAATGATCAAACATTCAAAATCAGCAGGGGACCAAATACTTACCATATTTTTTGCCGTATAAGACGCACTTTTTCTTCCCCAAAACTGGGGGGGGGAAAATGTCAGTGCGTCTTATGGA